TCAATGTGTTTGTGGGTGTGCACCTTGGATGTGTCTTTGTGTCATGAGTGCCATGAGGTATCCAGCAAGATCAGATATGTACTATGCTGAGCCACATGGCATGTGGACCCCAGGTTTCAGGAGAACTCCTTATAACTATAGCCTCACAATTCCCATCCTTCACTAGCTCAAATTCCTCCTCCTCCATGAAGCTTCCTTAAGACACAGCTAGGAGTGAACACTTCCTCTGTGCTCTCCAAGCTCCTGGGATGAACAGAAAACTGCAATTGGTTTATTATCAGTGATTTTTATGAATGCAAAAATGTAGTGACATCATTATATCTACTGCAGGAAGGTGTAGGGACCCTCATGATCTCCATCTCCTGGTATTTATGCCCTTGTATAATCCCCCCATCTTGAATGTGGGTAATGCCTCTGACTTCTTCTGATAAAATCTGGCAAAGAGGACGGGATACCTCATTACATCAGGTTGAGCAGAACTTGGTCTTGCTGTTTTACTCTAGAGTCTCCTTACAGGCCTGACAAAGGAAGCAGTTGTTGGAAAAGCTGTGTGACAGGGAACAGCAGATAATTTATAGGAACAATGGATGGTTTCTACCAATATGCCATAAAACCAAGGCCCATAGGTTAGACAACAGCATGATTCTGCCAATAACCCATGTGAGTTTGGAAGTAGATGCTTCCCCTGTCTAGTTCCCAGATGAGAAGCAACACAGCCCAGTGAATGTCTTCACTGAAACCTCATAAGACCCTAAGTACTCTGTAAATCATGTCACTGAACTATGAGATTGTCTGTCTTAGGCTGCTAAATTTGAATTTGTTATATAGCGATAGAAAACTAATGCCCATGTATCTACCACTTGATATAATTAACTTTAAATTTTTAAATTACATTTGTCTGTGTGTGTGTCTGTGTGTCTGTGTCTGTGTGTATGCACAAGTGAATACAATGGCACACATGTAGCAGTCAAAGGACAACTATGGGAGTTGGCTCTCTCCTTCTACAATGTAGGTCCCAGGGATTAAACTCAGATTGTCAAGCTTGGTTGACTAAACTCAGGTTGTCAGGCTTCGTGGCAAGTGCCTTTATCCACTGAGCCATTTCACCAGTCCATAATTAACTTTATAATAGAACTGAAACTCCTGCAAACATTTCTTTGATTGCATTTCCTTTGTTACCAAATGGTTCTTAATATTATTCTAGTATATGTCCCTAAATATGTTTCCTATGATTTTAAACTTCATTTCTTTTTTAAATGTATTTATAATGTCCGTGCTGTCTGGTAGCAACCTATCCTGAGCTTCTCAGCACTGTTTACCTCTGACATGTTTCTCAAGGTTTCACAGTGCTCCATGGGAGCATTAGCTCTTGCTAACCTGGGGCATCAGCAGCTCATGTCTCCAACTTCTTGCCAACATAGGACTTGGACCAAAAGGTACCTTAGAGTTCAAGCTCCACCCCTTCTTTTTCTATTTTGCAAGCGAAGGACTCTCTGGTTCAGAGATATAAAGTGACTTGCCTAAGGCTCAAAGCAAATGACAGAGCAGACAGGTCCAGAGCTTGTGCCCAACTCAGAGTTTTCCATATAAGCCTGTAGCTATCAGACTATACTGTCAAGGGGTTGACTTGAACATTCCATTTCACACAGAGATTCTGAGATTCCATTAGAAGCAAGTCACATTCGGGGGAAGGGAGTTTCACAAAGGATTAGATGCCAGGAGGTAGAGATCATAGGTGCCTTCTCACAGCCTTTCTACTGTAGTTGGGGTTGATTATGTCATTACAGATGTTTGTCACTGTGTGCTTTTGTTAAATTAGTTCTGATGTTAGGCCTAAACTGTGCCTTTCTCGGTTTCCATTTGCAGTTTTTCTCTCACTAACAGGGCTGTATGAAGAATTCAACAGTTTAGAACTACGTCCAGAAATGTTTAGCATTTATTATGGCCTTTCCCACAATGATAATTTTCATTTAGCAAAAGCAAAATTGTGTTCAAGCTAAGTAAGTCTCAGATGTGGGAAATATCAGCTGATATTCTACTCCTAGCCTTCACCCCCTAATGGAACCTCTCCCAGCACAGATGGGAGATGCCTCCAGCCCTGCCATCCCATCTGGTGCACATCTCAAAGCAGTGTTGCCATGCCTCCCCTCAGGCATCTCAACTGGAGTGGGGTGCTTTTCTGGGGAAGCTCAGCCTTGCCCTCCACTTCCTCTTGTCTGTGCCCCTCTTCCCCAGTTTAAAACAGCTGGAAGCTGAAGTCTTACTTAATCCTGAGCAAATTGGCTGGGGGAGGGAGCAATTGGGAGGAGGGGAAGCAGAAAGCTCTGGGGCTTGCTTCTAAAATCAGGCACCCAGGCATCTCTGGAGCCCTGGAAGGGTGCCCGCTTCTTCCACATCTGCAAGACTTTTCATCCTGACAGACCATTGTCTGCCTGGCCATTCAGAACAAGGGGGAGAATGTCAGACATAGTGTCACAGGCCCATAATTCCAGCATTCAGGAGGCTGAGGCAGGAAGATGGGAACATTTCACATTCAAATCACAATGATCCAACCTAAGATATCTGGTTATATAGCAGATGGAAGATGAAGACAGAGACCCATAAATGTTACTGATGAAGGAATAAATGACTGGTGAAATAGCACATGGGCCAAGATGCCGTGCCTATCTCTATCAGAAATAGTTTTGTCATGGAGCAGAGGCTGAGGGGTGTTAGCCTGCAAGTAGGTGATCCAAGACCAAGTGGTAATGCAGAGTAGGGAACAGAGAGTCTTCCCACTGGGTCACTGGCACAATGGACGGTCCTTGTGACAGGTGACCTAAGAGGTAGGGTCCTCCACACACACACTAGGATTCACACAGAAGATTCAGTGTCAGCTAAGGACCTGGTCCACACTGACACTGCTTTCTATGTGTCCTCAATATCCCTTCACCTAGTTTTCCCTAATGACCAAAAATTTATCCACTAAGGAACAAAACCTGTCATTATACAAAAGGCACTGCACTGAGTGACACTATCCTTGGAGGAAATAACAAATTGATGCACATTTGTGCCAAGTTCCACAAGATGGTGCATCCTCTCTGGTGCTCAGCTTTGGTGTGGGGGCAGGGCAGGAGGGCCCCCAGGTAGGGTAGAATCAATAATGGGAGGCACAGAGCACAAAAGGATGGGCCAACTTCCTTTCTTCCCAGGGACACATCTTCCCTGGGTTATGGAGGTAGGGGAATGGCTGCTGCCTTAGCCTGCTTTCTGCCACTGGCACTGGCCAGAGAAAACAAAGGCTTCCCCTGTCCTTCATGCCAGCTTCTCTCAGCAAAAATAAAACGGCCCACTTATTTTTATCGCTCAGAGATTTCCTGGGAAATGGGTTATTAGTTCTCCTAATGTAAAGATAATAGGCTTGTCCCCTTCAGCAAATGGCATAGCCCCAGCACAAACGTGCTCACAGAACCATCACAAGATCTCCCCAGCTGATGGCAAAAGGCCCAGGAATAGGAGTGGGCCCTGAACAGGAACTTGGGAATGATCTGGGTGCTCCCACCCCCATCTGTGGGTTCTGAGTACAGGTAGGGCTCATTCAGATCCCTAGAGTCCTGACTTTCTTCTACCCTTATTTGGTGGAGTAGGGCTGGATTCCATCAGCAGTTAAATTGTCTCTAGCTCAGAGATGACAGAAGAACTGCTATCAAATAGGTTCTCACAGCACAGGGTTCCCAGGCCCTTCTGTCATTACCACAAAGCCCTTTGCCAGAAAACACCACTTCCAACTATACCATCTTTGCTACTTTCTCATATAAACATCCTCAAGGTAAGTGGATGCTATGATATACAGGTGGAAACTCCGAGCATAAAACAAGGTAAGGGTGCTAGTTAAGATGATGCCTGGGCTGGGATGGAGGGCCCTTATAGGCCAAGGGCAGAGTGCTTCCCAGAGATACAGGCTCTGCTTTTTCTTTTCCAAGCACCTCCCTTGCCTCCTGCTGCTCCCAGGTCCATCCCCCAGGACTGAAACTTCTGCAGGAAAAGCACTTCAGAGACTTTAACAAAAAGGGACCATGGCTGTCAGCGAGCTTCCCTGAACTCTTCACACCTACACACAGTATTAGGCTCCTAAGCTCTGGACAAGGGCTGGGCTCTTGACCCAGGTAGGCAAAGGGCAGAAGCACCATGGCATATAGCTACAGACTGTGTTTTACTGTTATAATACCTCTTTGCTTTCCACCTGTGCACCTCCCTCTCATCTAGGCTGTATGCCTATGAGGGCAAAGGGCATAGCTGGTAGTGTTTTCTCCTCCCAGCGAGCACTGAGCAATGCCAGGCAGACATCAGGAGTTCAGTACCACCCAGAATATGGCAGTGAACATGACTCTGTATACACTGGCCCCGTGAGTATACCACTTGTAGACCTTTTTTTGCTGACTAAGGCTCTCTTTCCCCATTCTGGGGCTTCATCGTCATTGCTGTGAGCCCCAGGCCTGGCATACAGCAATTGCTCTACCTGACTCCCATCTCTGACGAATCTCTGAAGCTATGGAAGCACAAGCAGGAGGAAAGCACGAACAGCCTCACCTAGAGGGCAAGGGAAGCACTCTGACAGTCCAGCCCCTTCTTGACTATTTGGGGAGAGTGAAAGTCAATGGACTTCCACTGTCTCTGTTTTGAAGGAGAAAGAGTCTAGCGCCATGGAGACCCCCTCTAAACCACATTTGGGAAAAGTTGCTCCACACAGTGAACTTTGTCCCTGTTGGGTACTTTGGCCCATCAGAACCCTTGTAGTAGAGATGATGGGGGTAGACTCATTCTGCATTTCAGAAGAGGACCACAGGACAAAGGAGGCCTGAAGGGATCCAGATATATTCCTGCTACTTCCAAAGGTTCAAACAAAAGGGATGACTGCATCTTCATTGAAAGAAATTAAGGAGAAAAAAATCACCCAGGAACATGGAAGGATGAATCTAAGAGAAGTTTAGTGAGCAAAAGGAGTAGGACAGGCCAGTTTGCTAATCAGCCTCCGCCTCCTCCTCCTCATCATCTCCTTCTTCCTCTTCTCCTCCTCCTTCATCATGTTGCTGGAGCTCTGAGGCCACAGCTGGGGCTGCTTCCTCCTCCTCTGCCAGCTCCTCAAGCTGCTGCTCTGCCAGGAGTTGGCCCACCAGCTGCTCCAGGGCCTCCAGACTCAGTCTCTGCAGGCGCTCCTCATGCTCTTCCCTCAACAACCCCAGCACTGCATTGGCATCCTTGGGCCCAAAGTGTTTGGCTAAGACCTGGCCTAGCAGGTGCCACAGGGGCTGGGATTGGTGGGCCTTGTTCAGTGTGACCTTCTCCAGAGGCTGCATGACAACATTGATGGAGGCATTGGGCCTGATGCTGTAATCTGAGAGGTATTTGTCATCAGCCAGGAGTTGGCCACGGAACATCAGGTGCTGCTGGTCCTCGGGAACCTGCAGCCGCTGAGACACCAGCTTCTTCATCATGGCCACGCTTTCTTTTCCAGATATCTTCAGGCTGCATCTTTGGCCCAAGAGCAGCTTGACAGTGAGGAACATTGGGCCAGAGAGGAATCAGGAGGGATCCATGCTCTGAGAGTTTCCCTGAAGGTGAAGGGGCCTGTAGGTGACCCTGTTATGTGAGGGACACTGCTCCTAGGAGGCCAAGGGCCACTGGATAATGCACAGTGATGTCACAATGCTGAGGAATTTCCAGAGCAGAACTTTAGGGATAGCAGGGGCATTCTGGGCACAGAGCATCCATGATATATGAGAAAAGAAGGGCAAAGAGAAAAAAAAGAGAGGATCAGGAAAGAAAAACATAGGCCTGTGAGAAAGGAGAATGGGGACAAAGAAAGAGGGCACCATGGCAACAGCATTTCTGTTGAGTCACTCAACATATGCATTGGGTCCCTCTCCTGGTCCCCCCTACACCACTGATTTAGTCTCTCACTTCCCTCCAGCCAGGACTCCGAACTCATCTTCATTTCCAGTCACCATCTTGGACCCATTCATGCCACAGCCAAAGAGACTGTCCTAAAATTAAAGTTGTGTTAGTCCTCTAAGGAACCCCATCTGATTTAACTCCTTTGATTTTGTAACCAAAACCAGCCTCCTCAGCCTGGCCCCTAGGCCATCATGGCCTGACTTTTTACTTGCTGCCCAGCCTCGTTGCCTCCCCACTTTTAATCCTTCATGACCTGCTTGCTCCATTTGAACTCTAGCAACTCATCCTGCAAAACTCTGCCTTAAAATCATCTCCATGAAACCTTTTCTGTTCTCCCCAGTCCAGGCAGAGGTGATCTCACCTCCCTCTGCGCAGCCATTACTCCACTGTAACACACTTGGATTGATGCACCCATGTCTCTGACTCAGAGGTAGGGACTGGGTCTCATCCATGGTGAAATCCCCTGCCTCCAGCACATGTGCATGCAATTTAATATGTAGATGGCCTTGAACACACACTTGTTACTGAAAGAGTTCTAGACATACTGAGCCACGCAGGAGCATGCAGGGCCCAGTATACAGGCTACATAGAAAAACATAAATCTGCCTGCAGCCTCTCCTTCACTCTATCTCCTCCCCTAGAGAGATGAAAATCCAAAATTACATAGAAAATAAATCAGAAAGTGATTCGAGTCTTTACTAAAGGCTCTTCTATAGTATTTCTTTAAATAGCCAGCTCCCCAGGTGCATGTGAAATGAATTTGAATTTGCAAATGTACACATAGTGGAGGATGGGCCACAGACTCCATGATGAAGATGCAGGCATCTGTGCAGAAGGAGCGTGGGATAGATGAAGTTTCTACAGGGCTATTTTGTAGTTCTCGGTCCTGGGGGGGAAGACCCCCCCATGCTTGACAACCCATCAGATAGACAAGATTGGAGTCATTTTGTGGGAGATGCAAGCAGAACTAACTAATCCAGGAGGCTTCTTGGAGGGTGAGGTTTGAGTGGACTTTGCAGGAGACAGAGAAAAGTGAGATGAATAAGAAGTGGCCTATAGTTTATCCTAGGCACAAGGATTCTAAAGAAGGGGCAGAATCAGAGCTGGGAACCTGGAAGAGAAAGGTGAGATCAGCCCTCTGCTCCCAGCCTCTCCCCTAAGAACCATATATCCAGCCTTGAGCTGTCCCAGATAAGAGAAGCCTCTGGAGAGGGCCTCATGGGTCTGGGATCCTTATAGCACATGAGAGCCACAATCCAGGCTTCATCTTTTCAAGGCCAGTGGCTGTGAAGACAGGTATATTGATGATAGCTACTTTGGGACCACACTTGCTGGGTACACTCTCCCAGAAAAGCTGCCTGGCCTAGGGACTCCCAGTGTCCATGGACCATGAGGATAGTAGCAATTTAATCACTGGTGTTCATAGAAGCTATATGAAATGGTCACTACTCACCTCTGGAGTTTCCATTGCCTTCCCAAAAGAGACAGAAGAAGTACCTGTCTAGGTACTGGAATCACATTTGGAACCTGGAAACACCTCAAGTTTTCACATGTAATTGTTTTTCTTAATTATGCAATTAACATGAGAAAATACAATTCTGTAATCAGAACATGCAATCAGACAATGATTGTCATAATTAGTGGGGAAGATCATCTGGAATGAGTGAGTTCTGTGACTTGGGAAAGGACTATGTTCAGAGAATGTGGACAGCAGTGGGCTCAAATTCCTCTCAAAAATCCTGCAAGCATTATCATCACTGGGAGCCAATACAATATTTGAGGGGGAAATGGACAGGAGAGTTTTTGGGGACAGGTCTGAGATCAAGGTTTCTGAAATCTTTGCAGTGCTCCTGAATAGACTATCTGAACCTTGGTACATGGAGATCATGAATTCCATAGAATAAAAGCCAGTTTCTCACTGCTGGCCTGGAGCTTGCCTTAAGCTGGGCTGGTCCTTGGATCTCATTTTGCTCCTTTAGCTAATGAAAGTGTGATCACTGCCCAGCCTACTTCCAAAAGTTGCTATGGGGACCTAAAACAAGTCCTAGTACAGTGTCCGATCCATAGAGATCTTGAAGGTAGGATTCTATTTATACATGGAAATAAAAGTTCCTACTGTCACTCTCATAAGATCCCACTGTGCCTGGAAACATGCCCAAGTGCTCCTGTCTTCACAAGCAAGCAGGCAGGCAGTCTTCTGTAGCCAGGTCTAACTCAGAGAGGAAGATGAGGCAGGCAGGAGAGTTTATTGATAGCTGAAGGGGTTCTAGGATATAGGGAATTCATGGCTGGTCACTGTCTGGTATTGCTTAAAGCCTTATCAGGAAGATGAGTTATGATCTCTGCTCACCTGACTCCCCAGCAAAGTGTTGTTAATGTACTTGAATGATGTCAGGTTGGCCTTATAGTGAGGGCCAGGGGTGGGACAGAGACTTGGAGTCAAAGAAAGAAGACAGAAACAGACAGGGATGTTGTGGAAAGCATATGGCAGGCATAAGAAAGCCAGCATAGGAAGTACTGAGGAAGAGGAGACCCACAGAGGGGCCAGGGAGCAACACCAGGGACGAAGAAAGAAAGGAGAAAAGGGGAGAAGCAGGAACAGGAAGGGTAACTCATGAGAAGTGCAACGAACACCCCAGCAGTTTGCTGCTTTGAGAACTCCATCCCTTACTCCTCTCCTTAGAGTCTGGAAAAAGTTCCTTGGAAAGGTTGTTAGAAAAAGTGGGATCCATCCAGGTAGTTGTTGATCCCTGAAAGCCTGCAGTCTGTGGTTCCCAGAGATTCCTGCCACCTCCACCTCATGGAATTCTACCACTCAAAAACAAGTCTTGACCACTATGGAATGTCTGTCTTCTGTAAGGCCAGGGAGGGTTAAACGCTACAGTCTCAGAGAGCCCCACCCAAAGGGGTGCCTTGAGGCTGCTCTGTACTCCACCAAAGGATAAGCAGCTCTTTGAGGTGGTCTCTGAGCAAAAGGAAGGTGACAGTTTTTATGTGACTTGCATAGGTACAAATGGCCAAAAACAGGAGTGAAACAAACTCACTGAAAAAGAGCATTTGGCGCCTGTCCAGGCTTCCATCGTCATACCTGATACCTTAGTTCTGCCACATCCTGTCATCCCAGAGTACTGGATAAGTCAGAGTCCGGCTACTGACGGCTGGAGCAGCCCAAGCCTGGTCCCAGAGCCAAACACAGCTCCCACCTTATGGGACTACAGCCTGCTGTCGCCACTAGATGTCACTGGTGACTTCCCTGGCCAGCCCTGGTAGCCATGGTCAATCAAGCAGTTAAGGGATCTGGGCACACAGAACTGAACCCTGAGTACAAAGCCTTATCCTGACATGGGCCCCCAACTCCCACAGACTCTACTCATTCATGTGTCCATCCCACCCACCCTGAACAGGGTACTGAGCCAGCAAGAAGACAGTGAAGACATGACTCTTTGGAGGAGGGGACACATAAGCCTGTCACTTTAGCACCATACCTAAACTCCACCAGGGAGGGAGAGCAGATCAGAGGGCCTCAAGTGGTAAAGGCCTTGGGAAGGTCTGAAGAAGTCAAAGGAGAAGGCAAGGAGGATAACTTGGCTGAAGGCCCAGCATACACAAGGCCATGCAGAAGAGTGTGGAACCTGAATGTACCTAGAGGGCCCTGAGAGGAGGCAGTGATGAGCAGGCAGGGACCAACCACCTTCACAGAGGCGTTCTCTACTACAGTTGAAATTTCTTAGCTTCACTAAATCTCTGCAGTGCACAAGCACAGGTATCCCAAAGAAGCACCCCATACCCAGGGACTGCACACACATACAGAGAGAGAGAGAGAGAGAGAGAGAGAGAGAGAGAGAGAGAGAGAGAGAGAGAGAGAGAGAGAGAGAGAGAGCTCGAGACAGAGAGCTCTTAAGCTCTGCCAACCTGAGCTGAGATCACTAAAGACCCTTCTCACAATGTCTCTGAGCACTAAACACCTATAGAAACACCAGCAACCTACCCAGCACTATAGTGCCCAGTTCTTCCCTCCCTTCCTCGGTGCAGTCTATGGTGGACCCTGGAAGAGCTGCTGCCTATAGTGTGCCTGGCTTCAACTTTATCAGCACATGGGTGTCTCTTTGGCCTGTCTGCCCTGAGTTTTTTATTTCAAGTGACAAAATAATCTGCTTCTGCCTCTAGCCCAGGTACTGTGATACACATTTAAACGCACTGACCATACTCTGAGCTTTGGTGTTGATGATATTACAAACCTTCAGGGACTGGGATCCAGTGAGACAGCTCCTCTGAGGAGCCATTGAGATCTGGGGATAAGGAGAATGCTCAGTTTCCTCAGGGCCCAGAGTCAATTCCACATACTCACCCACACATCTACGTCTGCATTCCACAGATGTGCCTTGCACACTAAATATATGCCAAGCATGTGTCAGGCATTTTCACTAGGCTCTGGGAGTCAGTTCTGATCTTCAGATTTGCCAGAGACAACAGCCAGTGCTTAAACTACAAGTAGACCTGGCAGGCAGGGCACCAGAGGGGCAGGGGAGACAGGGAGGGAGGCAGTTTTCTTTAGTGATGGGAAAAGGGACAGGTGTGAGAAGTTCAGGGAAGAGTGTTTAGGGTGAACCAG